TAAATATAATTTAGGTTTTCTCGACGCCTTGGTGAGTAAAAAAGAAACTAAGATGGTCAAAGATGTGCATAGGAAACGTACACACCAGCATTTAATTCTTAATTTATTTTCCAATCATGAATATGAGATCAAAGTGGGTGTCATGAATTCGATTATGATAAGGAGACTGAGCCTTGCAGATGCAAATCATCGATAGCAGGAAATAAGTAGATTGATAAATATTTTATTTATTAATAACTATTCGATATGATTTATTGGTAAGTATTTATCATTACTCATCAACTACAATACAGAGTAATAACTATTTAGGACGGGGCACACAGATCGGACCATTACGAAAAAGGTCGTTTAGGAGGTGAAACATAAGAACGATGTATAAAGGAGAATTAATACTATCCTTGGCTATGGATTCTTATGAAAAAATTTTCACTTCACCTCCTAGATTAGGACGTTTCCCGATTTTGAGCTGATGGGATAAGAACTTTGCGATGGAGACCTCCCGATCCATCTAGAATAGGTTGTAAGAGCACAAAGCCGCCAATAAAGGGCTGCGGGTTTAAAGATCAGGGCTAGCTGAATACATGGCCATTGTAGGACATGAAACATAATGCTCCATGACATAGTGTTTTGCATAACACGGAAATTTCACATCCAAACCTCAGTTTATAAACTCACGCAGAATCATTATCCCAATGGTCTCCATCACCTAATCTTACATTCCGAACAACCATTTCCGATGCAAACTACAATTATCCTTCCAGTTGATTAAGAACAACAGATTACTCTATATGTCCTTTTCATTCTGCCAAATTGCAAAGTAATTATCCATATATCTAACATTTTTGGCATTAATCTTAACTCTTCTTTGAAGCGTTCCTGCATTCTTGACGTATAATTATTGGCTAAACTCGAAGAAAAACAAGGTCCCATTTCACCTCTTCATGTGTGCTACTCATGAATACATTAAGTAGTCACAAGATTGAAATTTTGCTTTTATTTGCCCCTTTTATTCTTGACTGAGTGCTAATACTAGTATAGCTCTTTGGTCCGGGCTGTTAGTGTGTATTGATACCTTTACGAAACTTAGTAAATGGTTCTCTTTAATACTCTGTTAACTTAACAATTTAACAGATTCCTGTTAATACGTTACTAAATATTTCCAATATTCAGTTATTCTCCCTAATTAATGCTGACATACCCTTTATTTCGTTTGAAAAAGAAAGGATTCGAAGGATAGTTTCACCGGATGCCGAAGGAGGATTGTCTCGTATCTGCTATTATTACATTCTGCGAAAAAGACTTCGGTTCACCACCCTTCCACGCCAATCCATCAGTGCTTAACTTTTGTTCGTAATGTGACGGAAATCGTCAAAGCCAAAAACAATCATCTACCAGCACACACCAAAGCACACCAAACCAATAAAGGTGGCAGGTTGAAATATTACTTTTTTCTACTATCCGACTTTGTGATGTTAATTATGATCACACTGATGATCGCAATGAGGATCACCTTTCCTGGTTGCGTGTATTTCAGTCGATATTCGTAGCTGCTAGTTTCCGGCCCTGACGATGTCCGTCACATGATGGGTGAAAGTTGAGTATGGATGGATTTGCGGTACAGGACGGTGAGCCAAATGCTCCTTCGCACAATCTAACAGTAACAGGTCCAAGACAATCCGCCCCTGGTACCTGACAGAACCAATTTATCAATCCTCCCCCCCCGACACGAAATGAAGAGCATGCCAGCTTCAATTTATAAAGGATTCTTCACAAATAACCGTTTTTTATGAAGGTTTAGAAAGTCTATTGAAATAAACAAAACCGTCAATATTCAAAGTAGGAGAAATTAATGTAAGTAAAGGGGCAGGAACTATTTGTGGCTGTCGGATAGACTTAAGGAGGAGAAAGAAGAGAGGGATGAGCAAAATCTGCTGAGTAAGAGGCTTGAATGGCTTCGAATCTGATAAGGACTCACACATTTTGCATTAAATAAACAATGCATACACACAATACACAAAAGCACATACGTAAAAAGGTGAAGGATCATAAGTATGGTGAGCTGGAAAGCCTCATCTGCCTCATCTGTAAGAATGCATTTTTGGCATAAAATAGTCAGCCAAATAATGGGATGCCTGATTAGGATCACAGAGTTGGATATGTGAAGTGAGTGTGATTACACTGGGGCACACTTAGTTT